CCTTTGAGCCACAGGCACTGCTCCAGTATTCTTAGTTTTAATTGTTTAAAAGAGCAGAGGGTATGTGGCTTCTATTTTTGTCATTGTGTATCTTTTGCTGATTTGGATAAAGGGTAGCAAAGAGACAAGCAACTGTACCTTCCTTGGTGGTTTAAATCATGAGTTAAGTCTGGTCTGCAGCCTTGCATGTTTAAAAGCTCTTTTTTTTCAAGAGCTGAACAAATAGAGATATATACTGTATGGCTATATTGTTGAGGACAGTTTTAACTCATTCTTTGAGAAACAAAAGCAGGCTAAGCAGACCAAAGTGGGACAGCTTTGGAAGTACAGACGTGGGTTTCGGCTTTCCTGGCTGTGATCTCAGATGTTTGTGCACACCATTGGCCTTCTGTGCTGTGAATATTCTTTCATATAAGATTCATGTGGTGGAATTATAATTTGTCTTATTAAGCTGTTCTAAAATCTTTGTCTGTGCTTTTATCCTCTCAGAACAGTGGTTCTGTTGAGAAGCACCTTCCTAATGCCGCCACCCTTTAATACAGTTCCTGTTTGTGCTGCAAAACACAAATTGGGAAATATTTAATACAGTTCCTGTGGGTGGAACTGCTGCTCTCAGAGGATGATTTTACTTTAAAGTTATAGCCAAATTTTTAAGCTGTTACTTTTTTGACACATATATTTTCTTAATCACTTACATCTTCTTGTGTAGTGATGTCTTATAAATTATAATGATTAGTATTTGGTCGATAAGTTTTTGCTGTATGTATTTACATAAGCTTTAAAAGGCCGTGTTTGATTTGTCTTCCTGAAGAGAGCAGGTCGAGGAGAGATGAAGATGCAGGGACAGATATTGACAACTTTTTGCTAAATTTTGCTTTGAGTGAAAAAGAGAGATGAGATGGTAGTTGGAGAGAGAGGGGTTGTTGCTTTTTAAATGTGGATATATTATAACATGTTTATTTGCTGATGGGAATAACATAGGCTAGGAAGAGAAATTAATGATGTATGGGAGAGGGTATAGTTATGAAAGTGATACCTTAGAGTATTAAGCAAAAAGGATGGGATCCAGAGTGTACTTGGAGAAATCATTTTATGCATTGTACAAAGGAGTAAAACAGAGGAAGGTGTGTACAAATGTAGAAACTGGGTGAGGGTAAGTGGAAGGAAATGTCCAGGTGCTTCAGTTTTCTTGCCCTGGTGAGATCATGATCAGCTGAGGGAGATGGGAGAGCAGAGGTTTGTGAGCGATCTGAAGAGAGAGAATGGTGTAGGCAGCAGCCATTTAGGAGAGGGGAGAACTCAAACTCAGGGAAGTGTCTTGGTCATACAGGGCACTGCTGAGCATTAATTTGAAATTCATGTTCATAAATTTGAATGAGGCCAGTTTATATTTGAGGCCAGCATAGCATAGATATGCTATGAATATAGTTTCTATAGAAAACTCAGTCCTCTTTCATATGTCCTTTCTGTAGAAACTGTATTCATAGCAATAAGCTTAATTCCTCATTATAGTTACTTAGGGGTGCTTACTTTGTGGCAGGTATATGTTAAGTGCCTTTTATTAATTATATATGTATGTACTAAACTGAATTGTTTTTCACATATTCTCATTTACACATAGCAATTGAAACTTTCAAAATGCAAAGTAGCACATTTTACTTGTATTTACTATAAATGTGAAGCTGTTGTCTATAGTAAAATATACAGTTTTTTTAATGAGTGTTCACTAGTGTCAACCAGAATAATGGGTTAAAGTTTTCAGAAGTAGGAGAAAAATAAGTTCAGTATATTAAATTTAAGGAAACTTGATTTATGTTTATACTAATAAAGATACTTAAAGAACTTTTTTTCTAGCCCAAACATATCCTGATCCAGCTCTTCCTCCACAACGGCAAGACAGATTTTACTCTAATTCTGGTAGACTGTCTGGACCAGCAGAACTCCGAAGCTTTAATATGCCTTCTTTGGATAAGATGGGTAAGAAATGCTTTGAGTTTTCTCTCTCTTTTTTAAAAATACTGGTGGCATACTTAATAACCGGAAGCTAGATTAAGGACTAATACAATTGTTATCTCTGGTAGTTCTTACTACCAAGGATCTCTTCCCTGAGAAGGTCTTGGTTTTATGTTTCTTGTCATGTTATACACAAGCGTGGCATCTGAATACGTGTGGTTTGAGCATCATTGTAGAAGGTTTACTCTATATGCCTTCTATGATGGTGAACTTTGTTTCATGACTAAGTTTCTGATTTTTTTTAGTCCTCTTTCATATGTCCTTGCTATTAAGTAGGGAAATTAGATGACCAAATGTGAATGGATATGTGGAAATCTGCCAGAAAATAATTTAGGTGCATGCTTTGTATGCAGTTTTACAACTGGTGATTTAATCAGTTACCTTGTTTGAACATTTCATACTTCGATATATTTAACTTTTACTGGGCAATCTACTGTTTTTCAGCCACTCTGTTACTAAATTACCTCAAAGCAAAACACAAATTGGGAAATATTTGTATTCTTTGTATCAACTAGGAGTATACAACACTAAAAATTTAAAAGTTTTTAAAAAGTATAGAATTAATACAAATTTATTGCTAAAAGATTTCGTCAGAAAAGGACACATACAAGGGGGCCATAATGTTGTGTGAAATTTAAACTAGCATGCAGTTCAAAATCACACACAAACTTTCTGGCTCCCCTTCTTTGGGGAGGGTTATTATCCAGTTGAAATACTTACTGTTTTAGAAAATCAATATTTTAAAATAACAAGCTAAAAAGCAGTTCTATAGTCTGCTTTTCTATTATAGGTCATAATTAAGTTAAAGTTTCTATTTGGCTTTAAGAATTGTTTTTCCCTCATTACTTCACACTTAATGGAATGAAAATATACATGTGATTAAGTATCGATTTTTAAACTAACGCTGTGTAAAAGTTTTTCCATCTCCATTTTTTTTCCTGCTGGTTGAAAAAAAATCTAAAAATACTTCTTAAGTGCTCACTGTTAGAAGGTACCCTCCATGACGTGGGATAGGATATACTTAGAATGAGGCCTAGTCTCTGCCAGTAAGAACCTAATAAATAGGAAGGACAGATACGTATGTTTATGTAATACTGGTCAGAATAGTGGGTCCCCTTAGAGAATGTGCTGTATTCAGAGAAAGAGACAACGCCTGTCCAGTTGAAGATGAGGAAAAATTCCATGAAGGAGGTGACATTGGGCTGCTTTTATGGAAATTTAAAATATTAATTGAGCAGAAGCAAAAATAAACAGTAACAGCACTAATCCTTGGTGGATAATGGCTGTACAGCAGATGCTTATCGGTTGACAGTGCCTTCGAAGGCTTAATGAGTTAACGTGTGTGGAGGTGTTTTGCACATAGAAGAGTTCTGATGCTCTCCCTCTGCTGCATCTCCGTGAGAATGAAGACCCTTCTCAGCGATCAGACTGTCGACATTCCAGAAAATGTCGACATCACTCTGAAGGGACGCACAGTTACTGTGAAGGGTCCCAGCGGAACCCTGCAGAGGGACTTCAACCCTTCCGTGTGGAACTCAGTCTCCTTGGAAAGAAAAAGAAGAGAAATGGTGGGGAAGTAGAAAGGAACTGGCTGCTGTTGGCACTGTTTGTAGTCATGTACAGAATGTAACCAAGGGTGTTACCCTGGGCTTCCGTTTCAAGGTGAGGTCTGTGTATGCTCACTACCCCATCAACGCAGGTATCCAGGAGAATGGGTCTCTTGTTGAATTAAGACATTTCTTGGGTGAAAAATACATCTGCCGGGTTTGGATGAGGGCAGGCGTTGCTTGTTCACTATCTCAAGCCCAGAAAGATGAGTTAATCCTTGAAGGAAACGACATTGAGTTTGTTTCAAATTCAGCAGCTTTGATTCAGCAAGACAACAGTTAAAAATAAGGATATCAGAAAATTTTTGGATGGTATTTATTTCTCTGAAAAAGGAACAGTTCAGCAGGCTGATGAATAAGATCTAAGAGTTGTCCAGCTACAGCAAGATACCGCATGATATTCCTTAAGATCTCTTTGTAATTTTAGCAATGCAATAAAAGATGCATTAATTTGGGAAAAAAAGGAAGAGTTCTATATAGTATAGTACTAATAGTTTATCAGTATGTGTACTTACATGTGTATGTCAGTTTATGTTCTTATATATTATTTGGTTAGTTTATGTCAGTACATGAAGAAGAGTGGTGAGAGATATAGTTGGAACCTCTTAACTATCATCAGTGCTCAGTTACATCTATTAAATGAAAATAAATTATCTCATTTAATCTTGAGAATAGCCCTATGAAGTAGATACTTCTATCTTCTTCTTTTTTTTTTTTTTGCTTGTACAAAGGTCTTTATTGGTGGGGGAGGGAGGCTACAGAGTAGCACCAAGGAGGAGAGATAAGAGAAGAGAAAAGAGGAGAGAAAAGAGGAGAGAGAGATAAGGAGAGAGTGGGGAAGAGAAGAGAGAGAGAGGGCAGAGGAGAAAGGCGGGGAGAGGGAGAAGAGTCCATCCTCATTTTATAAAGACACTGGGGCACCCAAAAGTGCTCCAGATCTCAGGAAGTATCAGAGGGCCAAATTGGAATCCATGACAGTCTGGTTCCACAGCTGTGGTCTTGATCCCCAGACTTCAGTGAGAGAATTGTGGACTGTCATTGATACACTGAGTATCTGCTGAATGCTTACTGTGTGACAGGCATCATGGTGGTGGTTATATTTCAGTGGGGGACAGCATTCCTTGTACTTTGAGGTCTTGTAAAGGCCTAAAGGTAGTTAGACTGCGAGTGACAATTGTTATGAGTACAGCATGTGGTGTTTTGAGTGTGTAATGGTCAAGAAAACTTTTTGGAGGAAGTGACATATATGCTGAGAATTAAAGGAGGGATTGGTTGGACCAAAATGATGATGATGATCTAGGAGAAGAGAATAGCATCTTTAAAGATTTAGAGTTAAGGGTGCCTAGTAAGTTATGGCTGTAACATGGCATGTGAGTCAGAGAATATTGAAACAAGTAGCTGAGAGTTAAATATTGTGTAGATTTTGCAAGGCCTTGCAAAACCCTGTTCAGAAATTTGGACCATATTTTCAGAATAATAGCAACTTATTAAAAGGTTTTAAGTACTGAAATGATACAATAAGATCTGCATGTTAGAATTTCTCTGGTTGCATTATGGAGAAGAGATTGGAAAGATAAAGAATGGAGCCTGAGGAACTTTTTAGGAGACTGTGATAGACATCTGGATGAGTGATGGTGGTGATTTTGCAGATGGGGTAGATTGACATGAACAGACATAAGAGAAAGTAGAATTGGGAGGATACAGGATTGAAGGCTTGTGGGGAGTTAAGGAGAAAGAGTCGTACATGATGTCGAGGTTCTTGGCTGTGGCACCTGGGTGAACAGAGATGTTATTTGTTGTTTTGACACAAGGAACACTGAGCAAATTTGATAGGAAAGATTGTAAATTATGTTTTGAATTTACAAAATAAGTGGCACCTGTGATACACCTCATGTACATTCAAGGAGCAGGTCACGCTTTGAAGTGCTAGGGGCAATGTCTGGTTCTGAACTGTAGCTAGACGTCAGTTGTATCTAATTAAAGCTGCAGAACTGGATGGGATTTTTGAAGGGGGGGAATGAGAAGAGAATAGGGGTGAGTATGGAACTCAGGATGGTCAGAAGTAGTAATTCCCATCAAAGAGACTGAGAAGCAGTAGCTGGAAGGGAGGAGTGGAGAGAAGGAAGGATTCTATCACAGAAGTCAAAGGCTGAGAGCATATCAGGAGGGAAGGAGTGGTCAGCAGTGGTGGGAAGTGACGTAAAATAATGACTGAAAGTGTCTGTTGTAATTTACCAGACAAAGAGACTTTCATTTTCCTTTTTCTTTTTTGGAGATAGTCTCATTATGTCGCTTTCAGTAGAGTGCTCTGGCATCACAGCTCACAGCAACCTGAAACTCTTGGGCTTAGTGATTCTCTTGCCTCAGCCTCCTAAGTAGCTGGGGCTACAGGCCTCCCCCACAACGCTTGGTTCTTTTTTGGGTGTAGTTGTCATTGTTGTTTGGCAGGCCCGTGCTGGGTTTGAACCTGCCAACTCTGGTGTATTTGGCTGGCACCCTAGCTGCTGAGCTACAGGCGCAGAGCCCAAAGAGACTTTCTGATTGTAGGGAAAATAATTTCAATGGAGAAGATGTTGCAAATTGACTACTGTAAAATGAGGACACAGTGGGAAGAATTCTGAATAGTATATGTAAGACAATTCTTGATTGTAAATAGGTAGCTGGAAGTGAAGACTCTTTTTCTATCTAATTTTTAAATTGTCAGGTGAAACCTGGATCTATCAGAAAGGGAGGAGGAAACCAGCAGAGGAGGGGCCCTGAGGAAGCGGGAGGAGAGGGATTCTGTGCTCAGGATGAGGGCCAGGGGTTCCAGAGAGATCCTTTCTGGGATGATAGGAGGAAAGATTGTCAGAATACAGCTGCAGTATGCATCTATGTTTTGTCACAAAAAGTGAAGGGAATTTCTGAGCGACTGGTATAGTAGGGTTGATGAGCCTGGAGACTGGAAACTGCTGAGGAGAAAGCCGGAGACAGAAGGGGCATGGAGACACAGCGGAGGAAGTGGTGAGATGCTGCAGTCTGCTCAGCTCTTTGGTTTTTTATTTTTACTCCAGCAGTAGCCGGGTGGCTCAGGTATAAGGAGAGCGGAAACAGAAATTTGGACTTGGAATGTTATCAAGCACACATGAAAAATGACCAAAAAGGGAAGGACATTGATGGCTGGCTGAAGTGATGGACTTGGAGTCTAGTTAATTGGGGAAAGAAGTGAAGGAAGGAAGAAGCCAAATGTTAGATCAGAGGTTTGGAAGCATTGGTGACATCAGGGACAGGTGTAGTGAGAGTAACTAAGTGAGAAAGCCGGAAGAGAGGAGGTGATTGTGGCCAGAAAGAGGGTGGTTTTAATTTATGTCCTCAGAGGCCAACCAGTTCTTGGTAACAGCAATGCTCAGGAACATTTATTTCGGAGCAGTGACTGAATTTAAATGGCTTACACGATGAAAGAATAGGGGCGGGAGGAAGAGTGGGAAGAAAGAGAAGGAGAGAGGGAGAAAAGATTGGAGGGAAGGAGAAAGGTTCTTTTTTCTAGATGTTTCCTCAGGTGCTGCAGCAGCAGGATTGCTGAGAAGGAGCTGGACAAATTACTGCCACACTCTGCTGCAGAACTGAGGCCACCGGAATTTCTAGGGCCCTCAAAGTGCCCTTCATAGCCGCAGTGTAGGATGGTGATGTCTGGCTGGTTTATGTGCCAGCAAAGGGGATGGGAAAATATTAGTGTCCTTTGTGGCCTGGAAATATTGTAGGAATGGAGTGATAAATCATGTGTTTTTTGTGGTTTAACTTTTATGTCTAGATGGACCAGTATCTTCAGAAATGGAATCCAGTAGAAATGATACCAAAGATGATCATGGTGTAAGTACTAAAAGTGCAATTTTGTCTGTGTACTCAAGAGCCTTCTAATCTCTTGTCTACTAGAATAGAAATAGAGCTAATAATCTGATTTTTTGATATAAAGCTGTTTCTGTCTTTGGCAAATATACTTCCTACTTTGCATTGAAACTGCTTCTTTTCTGGATTGTAGCCTATGGTGATCAAGTACAACTGGCAGACGGGGGATTTGAGTTACTTTACTAGTTAAACAAGATTTTAAATTTCCTTCCTTGGATTTCTATTTGAATATTAATTTTTTTTATTGTATGTACAGTATTGATTTTGGTTACCTCGAAACTATGAATGTTAAACATTGGGCTTTTTCCTATTTTTTTTCTGTATGTGCTTGATGAAAGAATGTGTATTTTGATACTCTTAGACTATATATATATATTTTTTGAGACAGAGTCTCAGTATGTCACCCTAGGTAGAGTGCTGTGGCGTCACAACTCACAGCAACCTCAAACTCTTGGGCTTAAGTGATTCTCTTGCCTCAGCCTCCCACGTAGCTGGGACTACAGGAGCCGCCACAGCGCCCAGCTATTTTTTGTTGTAGTCGTCATCGTTGTTTAGCAGGGCTGGGCTGGGCTCGAACCTGCCAGCCTTGGCTTCCTACTCACTGAGCTATAGGCGTTGAGCCTATATGTTTGTGTTATCTTTAACCAGAATATCATTTTATTGGTTAAAGCTACTTTCTATTTACTTAATAAATATTTGTGATAGCTAAAAGCTAGCTATGTAAACATGGAAAACTATTTGGAGCGTGAAGTTTGCTAAGATTGTCCCAGACAGCTTTCTGCTGAGGTGCTTTCTTCTAAACCTAAGATTTTCAGGAAAACCATTGCACATTTTGCTGTTTTTTAATGATTGCCATATGTCCATTTGTTACAGAATTTGAATGTGCCCAATTCATCTCTCCTTGCTGAAAGTGAAGCAGCGGGCGCTGGCTTTGTACCTTCACCTGTTCCTCCACTGAGGGGACCAGTGTTTCCAGTGGATCCGAGGGGCCCATTCATGAGAAGAGGACCTCCTTTTCCTCCACCGCCTCCAGGAAGCATGTATGGGGCTCCCCGAGATTATTTTCCACCAAGGGACTTCATTGGTCCACCACATCCTGCATTTGCAAGTATGCTTTAAAAAAAATTGAATTATGTGTTTTATATAGTAAGTCAGAGATAATAGATAGTAGTAATAGGTGGATAGTAAAAAAAAGTAATAACAGTTGGATAATAGTAAATCTATCCATGTAGTAATACAGTGGAGGGAAACATTTTCTAGCATTCAGTGAGTGCGCCATTACTTTTCCAGATTGGGAAGCCAGCCAGCCAGCTAGCGTATGAGGTTTCCACTTGAATAATGTGAAATTATTTCTATTTTAGTAGTCAAAAAAAATCATTGGCTTTTTGCAACAGTCTTATGGTAAAACTAAAATTATCTGTATTTCACTTTGATAGAAGCTGGTTATTGTGGCAATTAGTTAAAATAATTATAACTTACCTTTTAGCATAAAATTACTGACTGAAATATTTAAAAAGTCTTTTTCATAAATAGTTCCCATGTAGTCCTACTTACTTAAAACCTAAAATGTATTTATCATGTTTGGCCTAATTGTCTGGTGGATGTATTAAAATTCTTTCATAGCCTCACAAAAGAAAAATGGAGTAATGTATTGCTTTATACCTATACGTTACCGTTAGAACTGTAGATTGCTACAGAATAAATAGATGGCTACGTCGTCATTCCTCTCCTCATTCCTCCTCTATTATAAAGTTTCAAGTAAATTAAAATGAATTTTTGGGGGCAATTTTAGGATAGTCTTGGATATAACTAGAAATGTTTTAGTATAATATCAAATCAGAATTGGGAATCACCCATCTGAATTTTAAGTCTGGTGAAAATTAAATTCCATAAAAATGTTTTTTATAGGAAGCCTTACGTATTTTTAAATAGTTCTTTTCCTTTTTAAAAAGTGTTAAGGTAGCACAAAAATCACATCAAATATTAATGATATTCCCTTTAATCATATGTGGTTCAAGAGAGTACATTTTTCTTTTTCTCAATGTTGTAAAAATTTTTTAGATCAAGTAGTTATTCTGGTGTCCATTTTTAATATAAGAATAGATACTAAAAGTTTATAAGCTAGTGATTTATTAGAGTTGTAGTACAGGTTCTTCAAGTTAAAAAATGTCTTTTACCACTCTCTTTGAACAGTGAGAAGTGTCTATCCACCAAGGGCTTTTCCTCCTTATCTTCCCCCAAGACCTGGATTTTTCCCTCCACCCCTACATTCTGAAAATAAAAGTGAGTTCCCTTCAGGGTTGATTCCGCCTTCAACTGAGCCTGCTACTGAACGTCCAGAACCACAGCAAGAAACCTGACAATGTTTTTGCTCTCTTCAAAAGTAATTGTGACTTCTCTCTCATTTTCAGTTTAAGTAACTGCTGTTACTTAAGTGATTATACTTTTGCTCAAATTGAAGCTTAATGGAATTATAATTCTCAGGATAGTATTTTGTAAATAAAGATGATTTAAATATGAATTTTATGAGTAAATTATTTCCATTTTATTTTATTCTAGATAGTATAATTATTTTAATTTGATTAGTCTACTACTACATAAACAATAATGGGAGTTTTATACATGTAATCTTACATGTGGGGATATTATAAATTCCAAGGCTTTGTCTTTATGCCAAGAACTGTATTTACTGTGGTTGTAGACAAATGTGAAAATAACTTCATGCTTAATAAAAATTTTTAGTTGGTTTAAAGACTTGTTTGGCATTGATAATAAAATCAGCTAGTTTTTCCATAAGTAATGGCTCTATTAATTAGTTTTTTACTCGTACCACTAACTTTGAGGTTTAAAACTAAAGCTTTGTGTGGATCTTTTGGATCCAATTATCTTAACACAAATGTGTCCCTGCTTTTATGAATAGACATGAACGACGCAAAGTAACAAATTAATACACTTTTAAGTCGAAATTCAGCATATTTTAAAGAAAACTGGGAGATTGTCTAATAGTGAATTTCAGAATTAGTTCATCACTGGTTGTCTTGAACAATTTCTTGTTTTTCTTCTTCATTTTTAAGATACTGTTTTCTATGGGGAATGTTGAGATTTACTACAGGATAATTGTATCAAGATAGGATAATTGTATTGAGCTTTGGACTCAGTATCTTAGAGTTTTTCCCTAAATCAGGTTTTTTTTTTTTTTTTTTTTTGAGACAGAGCCTCAAGCTGTCCCCCTGGGTAGAGTGCTGTGGCATCACAGCTTACAGAAACCTCCAAGTCCTGGGCTCAAGTGAGTCTCCTGCCTCAGCCTCCCAAGTCTGCTACAACGCCCGGCTATTTTTTGGTTGCAGCCGTCATTGTTGTTTGGCGGGCCCGGGCTAGATTGGAACCCGCCACCTTAGGTGTATGTGGCTGGTGCCTTAGCCACTTGAGCCACAGGCGCTGAGCCCTAAATCAGGTTTTTAATCTATTATTAGTCTTCTTCCCCATAATATGATTATGAAAGGAAAGATAGGGCAGTATAACTATTCTAAGAAGTATCAGCGCCTCTGTAGTTGACCACCTCCCTACCTTGACCACTCCTAAATTTTCACAGAGCAGAAGTGTAGCACATGTACGTGTTGGTGCACTAGCCTGGCTCCTCGTGTGGCCCACTTCTGTATGTTGACCAGTTGGTTACAGTCCCTTGGGTGGTCACCTTCAGAGGTTCTGCTGTACTTCTGTTGATTAGTTTGTGTTTTTAGTTTTTTACTTGGACTTTTTATTTCGTGCCAGATGCCAGAAGATTAAATATTCTTGAATAAAGCAGTGATGCATTTTGATTGGAACACTGCATACTAGCATTTTCTCAGATGTTTGGAACACGGGTCTTGTGAGGTATTTTCACTTCCTTTTCATTTTCATCCTCAGAAAAAGGCTTAGAGAGACAGTCTTCAGGTGAGATGCCGAGATAAAATAGCAAGCAGAATGAGGAGCCTGAAAAGTCACTGCATTTGGCGTTTGCTATGGTTTGAACGTTTGTGTCTCCCAAAGATTCTTATGTTGAAGGCCTTCTCCTCCAGTTGATGGTATCAGTAGGTGTGGCCTTTTGGCAAGTGAATAGATCACTAGCGTATCAGCTCATTAGCTCAACATCCTTAGCTAGACTTCCAAGCAAATAGCTTATTGGCCTTTGGCATATCTTCTTGGTGAAATATCTGTTTTTTGAACTGGACAGTTTGTTTTTTTAAGTTGTAGGAGTTTTTTTTTTCTTTTCTTTTTCTTTTTGACATTAGTTTCAGTCCTAGGTCTTCCACATCCTCCTCCTCCTTGTAAGTGCATGGGATTATTTAATACAAGTTTAATGTAGGACAGTTAACTCTTTACAAACATTTACAATTGACAAAACTCTGTTAATGATAGGGAGCTTACACACTCAATTCAAGATTTAATATTTTTTTCCTCCTTAAATAACATACTTGATTATTATGAGGCAGCTATTTGGTTTTCAGTGACCACTTTTAAATACATTCAGAGGATCGATAAGATAGTCCAGGTGAAATGGTTATAGAATTGAGGCTATGTCATCTCAGAAAACTCATTTATATATCTAAATCCATTTTGATATCTTGGAAGTTAAAAAGGCTGAGTTCTTCAAACTGATTCTGCCTTCTTTAACTCAAGCACTGTTCTCTTGGCAAGAGGAAGCTGAAGCTTATCTATGAAGGTGAAGGTGCTCAGTGCTAAATTTTTTTCTAAGCTTAGATTTGGACTAAGAAACTGATACCCCGAAAACTAGCATGGTCTGTCTACATTTGTACCGTCTTAAGATTAGAACTCTCTATCAGCTGTCTTTTTCTGTATTGTTCTTGGCACTCAAGACGGCTAAAGTCTTGTGTACTTCAAACCTTCACATTCTCATAAACTTAAGTGTGAATAAACGTTTCATAAAATAATTCTGTCCGCTAACATATTGGGAGATGGACTTTTATACCAGAATTTTACATAAGAGCATAAGTATTATAAATCAACCTTTCTTTTAAAGTCTAATGAGAGAAAACTCAAGCCTTGTGCATTGTTTTAAGGTCTAATTGAGAACTTTTCTTGGGCCATCAGTACTGGTAATTTAAAAATTTCCAAATATTGGATTTTGGACTATGGGAAGAAAACATGAATATTTCAGATGTCTCCTATCTTATAAAAAGGTATCAATCTATCAAAGCTAATCCCTGTGTTCTAGAAAACAATCTGGCGTAGGCCGGTACTGTCAGTAGAGGAGGCCACAGTGACATTTACATTATTAGCACTTTATACTTCTGCTTTTCTAAGAGTAGAAACAATATGTTTAACAATTTCCCTTCCCCGCAAATCCTCGAAGTCAGTATCGTAGGCACAGAGTATAAACAAATCTGGGATGTTCCCCCACAGAGAAGCAGGACCACAGCTATGTTATCCTCAAAAGTGGTCCTCAACCTGGGGGTCGCGACCCACAGGAAGTGTATTAAAGGGCTGTGGCATGAGGAAGGTGGAGAACCACTGGTCTAGATGGTTTCCTGTAAAATCACATGCTTGGTGGCCACACTTTGAGCAGCCTGCATTGGTTGGCATCAAGTGCCTTTATTGTGCCACAAGTCCATCTAAGCTTCTGGTTAGGTAATTTTTAATATGACCAAAAGAAAAGCACCTGCTTTAAGTTTAGGGGTGGTAAGGACATCAATTCATTTTTAAGGTTAGATTAACTATTTTGCATTTATTGAAGAAAAAGTACTAGAGAAAAAAGTTAAATCACAAAAACTTCTTTATGTCATTTAAAGGCTACGTCTCTAGCTGGGACATTAAAAAAAATTAATCTCAGCTCAGCACCTGTAGCTCATTGGCTATGGTGCCAGCCATATACACTAGAGCTGGCAGATTCAAACCCAGCCCAGGCCTGCTAAAGAACAATGACAACTGCAACAAAAAATAGCTGGGCATTGTGGCAGGTACCTATAGTCCCAGCTATTTGAGAGGCTGAGGCAAGAGAATCATTTAAGCCCAGGAGTTGGAGGTTGCTGTGAGTTGTGATGCCATAGCACTCTACCAGAGGCAACATAGTGAGACTCTGTCTTAAAAAAAAAAAAATCAATCTCACTAGCCCACACTCTAAAGTTAATGTCATTAGGAACAGTGAACAGCAGAAAAAAAAATTAACAACCAGCCCACTCCTTAGCAAAAAAGCAGTTTAACCAAGTACTTAGACCGAAGTGTGACACTGCCTCCCAAACTGCTTCATCCACAGGCAAGAAGAAAGTTCTTATTCTTTAAATTTTTGATAGTAGAACATGTATGCATTTTTACATGGTATATCTGATATTTTGTTACATGTGCAGGATATGTAATAATCCAATCAGTTATTTGGAGTATCCATCACCTGAAGTATTTATCATTTCTGTGTGTTGGGGAACTTTTCAAATCCTCTTTTAACTATTTTTTTTGAAACAGAGTCTCACTATGCCACCCTTGGTGGAGTGCCATGGCATCACAGCTCACAGCAACCTCAAACTCTTGGGCTTAAGCGATTCTCTTGCCTCAGCCTCCCAAGTAGCTAGGGCTACAGGCGCCTGCCACAATGCCCGACTTTTTTGTTGCAGTTGTTTAGCTGGCCCAGGCTGGGTTCAAACCTACCAGCCTTGGTGCATGTGGCTGGTGCCGTAACCGGCACTGAGCCTCTTTTAACTGTTTTGAAAATTACAATACATTGTTAACTACAGTCATCCTACTCTGCTATCAAACGTCAGAACTTCTATCTTTGACTGTATGTCTGTATCTATTATCCAGCCCTCTTCACCCTCCTCTCCTTCAAGCCTCTGAGGGCAGCCACCGTTCTACTCTCTACTTCCGTTAGATCAGCTGTTTTAGCTGCTCCGTGAGTGAGAACATGTGGCATTTGTCTTTCTGTCCCTGTCTTGTTTCACTTAACGTCTTCCAGTTCCATCCATGTCGCTGCGGGTGACAGGATTCCATTCTTTGAATGGACGAGTAGTAGCCCGCTGTGCATCTATACTACGTTTCCTTTGTTCATCCATCGCTGGGCGTCCACAGCTTCGCCACTGTGAATAGTGCTGCAGCCGGCATGGAGTGCAGGTCGATACTGAGGTGCTGATCTCCTGTCCTTGGGGTAAGTACCCGGTAGTGGGATTGCTGGATTATGTGGTAGTTCTATTTTAGTTTTCCGAGAAATCTCCATATTGTTGTCCATAATGGCTGTACTAATGTACATTCCCACCACCAGTGTTTAAAAGTTCCCTTTCTCTGTATCCTTACCAGCATTGTTATATTTTGTCTTTTTAAAAATAGCCATTTTAACTAGCCTAAGATGATATCCTACTGTGGTTTCGATTCGCATTTCCTGGTGATTAGTGATGGTGAGCATTTTTCATATATGTATTGGCCATTTATATGACTTCTCTTAGGCTGAAGTGCAGTGGCACGGTCACAGCTCACAGAAACCTCACACTCCTGGACCAGCCTCAGCCTCCAGAATAGCTGGAACTACAGGTGTGTACCACTGTGTCCAGCTAATTAAAACAAATTTTCTTTGGAGATAAGGTCTTGCTGTGTTACAGATGCTGGTCTCGAATTCCTGGCCTCATGCAATCCTCCTGTCTTGGCCTCTCAGATGCTGGGATTATAGACATGAGCAACTGTGTCCAGTATTTAGTGAGATGATTATTATTTTTTTGCCTTTGAATTGCTTGAGTTCCTTGTATGTTCTCGAGTTGTTAATTCTCTTGTTGGAGGAATAGTTGGCAAATGTTTTCTGCCATTCAACTGGTT